CCCTAAACCCTTACCCTAAACCCTAAACCCTAAACCCTAAACCCTAAACCCTAAACCCTAAACCCTAATTAGTTGTTTTTCTTAGTTTTATTTTAATTCTCATTCTTACATTTTTTTATTTTGTTTCATAAATAGTAGATTTTTAATCATTTTTTTATATTTTATTATTTTATTTTATTTCCCTAACCCAAAATTATCAGATATCATGTTTTTTGAGAAAAATGTAGCAGACAGCCAAAAATGAAGTTCAAGTTCAAAAGGGAGGAATCAAAATTGGGTCGAAGCCCAAATCATACACACACAAAAAATCAAACCAAGGAGCCCAATTCCTATTTTCTCTCCATCGCACAAGGAAAAGAAAAGAACAGAGACTTCTTCTTCGCAAAAAGCCAGCAGCCAATTCAGCGTAACTTCTCCATCAAATTCGCTCCTCATTCAAGTCTCCAACGGGCAAAAATTCAACAGTAAAAAGCTCTATCTTGCTATGGCGGCCACCGGTGGGCGGTGGAGGAGGCGACAATCAGCGCAGCGACGGTGACCGGCGATGGGCGGCGATCTCCAACTCCGGTCATGGCTCCAATTACTTCAATTTCATCATCTTCTTCAACAATTTGGTAACCCTATATTTGTCAATTTCTTTTTTTCTTCTCCAATTTCTTTGTAAAAGTGTTGTCTCAATTTAATTTTTACATTTTTTTTCTTTGTTTGTGTTAATTGCGAAAACTCCAAAATGGTTAGTGTTTATTTTATGGGTTTTTTTGAATGTTATATTAAATCCCTTATGAATGAGAATTGATTCGTACTAGTTTTCTTCAATTATTGTGCAAATTGTTATTGAATTGGTTGAATCGCACGATTTGATTTCATAAGTAGGTTGGTATGTGGAATTTGGTTTTCATTGAAACTATTTTAGCTCCATATTATAGTTAAATGATTTCCGAATTCATACGTGATTAGTCGTTGTGCTATGTGTTTTGTAAAATTTTAAGGTTTATGGACTTCTTAGCCCCATAAGTTGGACGTTTTCCTTAAGATTCATTATTGAGTGATTGTTTGTCGTGTGTTTATTCGTTGATTTTCATAAAATTTAAGGTTGTTTAAGCACAAAAACAATTTTTAAGTTTTTAAAAATATGTAATGTTTTTCTTATGTGAATAGATTACAATTCTTATGCTTGAGTTGTTCAAGGAGACCTGCAAAATATTTTCATCATTAGACGTTAAAGTTTATTAAAGTGTATGAAATGTTCTTCATGAATACTTTGTGCATGGGAGTTAGAATGAAAGAAAGATTTACTCTTTATAAAACTTTTTCATCTTTTGAAATCATTGTTTGAGCGCTTGAGGTGAGTGGGTGTTCAAAATGATCCAAAAAGCCTTTGAACTTTTGACTCCGGGCCTTATAGAGAGTTGACGATCCTCTATATGTGGTCAAGGATATGAATCAACTCGAGCCTTTGAATTCTTTTCTATTTTTAAGTGCGTAAGTTACGTAAAATATTGTCTAAGTGCCTATTATACGTGTAATGTTCGTTTTGTGTTCGTTCTCTTTTTAATTTTTTTTCAGGTTTTTGGCAGTGTTTCTTGGGTTACCTAAGTTGGAAAAGTTGATTATCTTTTAAGCTTGTTTTCCCCTATTTTATCAAAAAAACCAAAAAAAAATAAGAAAAATCAAAAATCAAAAAAATATTTCCTTTTTTTCAACCCCCCCCCCCCCCTTGTGTTATATAAGTATAAGTTGTATTTAATAAGTTTATATTATAAGTCCTTGTTTATAAGTTATAAATATATGTTCTTTATACTATATTTTTAGTATGTGTTTTATGTTTATAGTTATATTATAGTTCTTCGTTTATAAGTTATATTTATAAGTTTTATATTTATTTAGTTATAAGTTTTATACGTCTTATCATATGTGTAGTACTTAGTTTTTTTGTTTAGTGACAATGTGTGTGCATGCTGATTTGATTTCAAAAATACAAACTTTCTTCGTGGGATCGACCCTTACTTGCCCTAACTATAGTTTTTATTTGATTATATATTGGGGTTAGCTAAGGATATTTTATAAATTTTTATTTTGTTTTGGACCGCACGACGGGTCTTCAACAGAATGTGCGGCATGTCATGGAATGAGTAGGTCCCTTGCTATATTCTTGCATGTTGGCTTTGGTCAAGCTATGTGTTGGGAGCTTTTTTCACATTTGGTGTTTTGTTCTTCTTAATATAGGAGTGTGTCCTCCACATGATGCGATGATCAAGTTATGTGTTGGGATTTTTTTAATTCCTCATTTCGTATTTTCTTCTTTATATCGAAGTGTGTCCTCCATGAGTTCTTGTCCCAAGTTTGTGTCCCAAAAAAATATATTTTTCAATATTCACAAGATCGAATTTTAGTTTTTTTTTTGTCTATTTTTATTACTTCACATATAAAATGATATTATCTTGGCACTTCTTGTTTTAAAATATTCTTGATGTTATTTTTAAATATATAAATTTATTTTTAAATATTACAAGTACATTATTTTTCACATTAATTGAAATTCAAATGGGTTCAAGCAAACATCATAACTCATGACAAATAAAATCTTTTGAAGACAAAAGGTGTAATAGTAAGCAAATAACTGGATGGAGAGCATACCTTAAGATTAAGCTTGACAACAATACGACGTATAATGGATCCTCCCAATGTCAACAATGCGTACAAGGAAGAATTATATTTTGACTCTCACAAACTAAGAAGATGATTCAGGCTTGTGCATGTACCCAAGAGTAATAATTCACAAACTGCAAACGAGGTTTATTAGTTCACACATCAAGAACTAAAAAATGGTTAATATGTTGAAATTTATCATTCTCAATGCATACCACAAGCCTGCCATTTCTAATCCAAAAAAATCATGATATGACATTTAGAAAATTTATGATGTTTGAAGTATTCATGTGCTTTTTTAGATTTCAACTTTATATCATTAAATAAATAAATAAAAGGACTATGATAAACTATCAAGTACGAAGTATACTTTTTTTGTACCAAAGATTTGGGACATAACAATCTGTTGTCTATGACTCTATAGTCTCTTAAGGTATTCTCACACATGGCAATTGACATTTACTATTACTTCTAGCTTCTTTATTGCAAAAAAACCAAACAAAACACTACATGAAATAGTATGTCTAAGCCACATCTCTTACCTGAGTATACAGAAGTTCAATAGTCCCTCCACTTCATGCACGAAACATAGTGAAAACTTAAAAAAGGTCCTTGAGGATCTCGATCAGCAATCTGCAAAAATATACTCTGTAGGTTAAAAAAGATATAACTTTTGAGATTCTCCCAAAGGTTGTTGAGAATGGAGTATAATTACCTTACAAAACAACATATCTTGGATATGTGAATTTGGAAATTCAAGTAATAAAACCAAACAATACCATAAAGAAAACTACTATAGAAGGGGGGTAAATGTTCAAAGAATTAATATACCTAAGCTTTGCTTCAAGAATTTACCCATGATATGGCTTTAAATACGAAGGATTCGAGATCCTATATACAGTATTTGGATAAACCTTTGGGTCTTAGATTGTGACTAATTTTTTTCCACTGTTAACTTATTTTAAGAATAAAATAAAATTTGAAATAAAATATGAATTTCTCAAGGATAAAATCATTGTACTGCATTTACTGACCAGAATCTATGTGTTTGTAAATGCTCAAAGTAGCAAATGTATGAGCCAAAGAAATTTATTAAAAAAAGAGCCATATTTTGAAAACCCAAGAACAGTAGTATTTTTCTTGTTTGACATCTTGATGACTGAATGGAACTCCCATAGAAGTAAAAAAAGACAAAAAATAGAAAGATTGAGACTTTATCCTATGGTCTCCGTGCTAGTTCTTCTAGTATGAGTTAACACCAAATGAAAATATAGACCCATCTTTCACCAAAGTGAACACCAAAAAAAATAAATTAGAAATTCACTAATTACTTAAAAATCAAATGTATGCTTTTATTTTAATCTTCCATATGTAAATTATAAGGTTAAGATTTTTCCTCAATAGCTAATTCTAAACTACATTCAAACAAAGAGTTTTGGAAAAAATAGTTTAATATAATTTACATAATATTTTAAATTTTAAACGAACCATATATTTTTAAATAGCCAAATATCTCATGAAAGACAAACAAACCAAACACAAATCTCTTAAAATATTCAAACTAAATACAAATACAACTGCCATCTAAAAACTAACAAATATGAATAATATTCATCAATATTTTATTTGATTAGAATTGTTTACAAACATACCCGCAAACCACTAAAAAGATCAAATATGTTTATGGGCTAGGGTTTTTATTATGGGCTAAAGACTTTCATAAACGTATTTAATTTCTATTTGGATCAATTCAATTTTCAAGATAATGACTCTCAAAAATATTATAAGACCTATCAATTTAATTTTTTTCATTAAAAAATTCCTTAATTAGTTGAATCAGGGCAGCTTCCATATTAGCCTGGAACAAGAATAGATACGGATGTAGTGCTAAATTGATGAAAATTGGTTCTTGATGATATTTTCTCATTACAAAAAATGTTACATATGAAAGTATAAAACTAAAAAATAATAATTACTTTTTTGCAAATTGAATAGAGGAAAAAGTATTTTATTTGGAGTTATTATTAAAATTCAAATGCTAAGTTGCTGAATTGAAAATATATCTCATGTTCTATCTTCACTCAAAAGTAGCACGGTGTAATTGTTTCCCTAGAAACCTTGCTATACAACCAAAGCATTATTTTACTCCATATTTTATTTATAAAAAAAACCATAATTACCTCCACTCGATCGTTACTGCCAAGGGTCGCGGGAGTGTTGTACTGCTGCCTTCGCTGCCCTAGCCGGAGCAAGGGAGATGCAGTTGTTCTCGTAAACCACGCCGTCTCTGTGAGGGGACACAGATTCTGCCAAACGGGCGTCTACACTGTTGGGGGCGCTAGGAGATTTCCGCCACATTGGTGGTCGTCGCCAGCGGGTTGGTCTGCTGAATTCGTCAAGGGTTCCGCTAAGCTCCCGTTGCTTCACCACTTCAGGTAGTGTGGTTGGTTTCTTCGTAGAGACAACTTCTTCCTCCCCAAACGAAATCTGACTCGCCCCAGAAACAAGCTGCTGTGGGACATATTCATACGTTTCAGTTGTGATTGGGTAGGGGTGTATTATAAAAGTATTGTAAGATCTATTCCTACTAAACCAATGCAACGATAAAGAAAGACAACTATGGGTATATCTAAATTAACAAAAAGACCAAACAACTGTAATAGTTCATCATCAAATCAGAGCACCTGATACATTTGGAGTCCAGTTTTGTTGCTGGGAGTGGTAGTGTTTGGGTTTTCAGACTCCAGCAAGTCATCTTCTTCGGCTGATGCAAAAATTCCACTCCATGTCATCTCCTTTCGTGGTTGTCGTCCCTATGTTCGGGCGTGGCGCTGAGTCGCAGGGGAGGAATGCAGGGCAATCTCTTCGTCACAGTCGTAGTGGTAGGCGGCGTTGCCGCCATGGAAGAAGAAGACGAAGGGAGGGGATAACCGGATAAGATTCTAGGAAGAGACCTTATTTATGGTCTAGGTTTTTTCCATTCTTGGGCCATCTAAGTGGGCTCTAATTTGGAATTCAAATTACCCTTTTTATTTATGAAAAAAGATTAAAATATGTGTAAAAAATAGATGAAGTAACAAAGAGTAATTCCATGATGAACTTAATATGTGTAAAAAATAGATGAAGTAACAAGGAGTAATTCCATGGTGAACCTAAAGTTCACATAGATATTCTCACATATTTCTTTTTAATTTTAAAAATGATTATTTCAAAACTTAAAAATGTTTCTTTAACATATATGAATATCCATCATAAACTTTGGGTGCATGTAATAATTTTCCAGTAACAAAATATAAGTTTCATATTTTTATTTATCAAAACAAGAGTTAAAATATTAATAATATCAACATATAATTCTAAAAAATATGTAGAATGCAGATTTACAGTGGCATATTGTCATACTGTAAACTTTTATTTCAGGGATAAAAAAATATAATGGTGTTATTTGTTTTGATAAGTTTTATACCCCTAGAGCTCGAGGCTAAAACTAAAAAAATTATAATTTAGACATTACTGAAAAGTCTTTTTAACATGAAACTTTTAAAAAGGATTTTACATGCAAATATAAATATCCATGACAAATTTCACAAATTTTGTGATGAATTTAAAATTTGGCCAAAAATTGTGATGATACCCCTATAGCTCGAGGCCAAAACTGGATAAATTATAATTTAGACATTATTGACAAGTCCTTTTGACATGAAACTTTTACAAAGGATTTTAATCGCAAATATAAATATCTATGTCAGATTTGGCAAAGTTTTTCATGAATTTAAAAGTTGGCCAAGAATTGTGATGGTACCCCTAGAGCTCGAGGCCAAAATTATTAAAATTATAATTTATACATTACTGACAAGTCTTTTTGACATGAAACTTTTACAAAGGATTTTACATGCAAATATAAATATCCAAGTCAAATTTAGCAAATTCTTTGATGAATTTAAAATTTGGCTAAAAAATGTGATGGTACCCCTAGAGCTCGAGGACAAAACTAAAAAAATTATAATTTAGACATTACTGACAAGTGTTTTTGACATAAAACTTTTACAAAGGATTTTACATGCAAATCTAAATATCAATGTCAAATTTGGATAATTTTTTGATTATTTAAAATTTGGCCAAAAAATGTGATGGTACTCCTAGAGCTCGAGGCCAAAGCTAAAAAATATTATAATTTACTGACAAGTTTTTTTGACATGAAACTTTTACAAAGGATTTTATATACAAATAGAAATATCCATGTGAAATTTTGCAAATTTTTTGATGAATTTAAAATTTATCTAAAAAATGTAATGGTTCCCCTAAAACTCGAGGAAAAACTAAAACAATTTAAATTTAGACATTACTGACAAGTCTTTTTGACATGAAACTCCTACAAAGGATTTTAAATGAAAATATAAATATCCAAGTCAAATTTAGCAAATTCTTTGATAAATTTAAAATTTTGCCAAAAATGTGATGGTATCCCTAGAGCTCGAGGTCAAAATTAAAAAAATTATAATTTAGACATTACTGACAAGTCTTTTTGACATGAAACTTTTACAAAGTATTTTACATGCAAATCTAAATATCCATGTCAAATTTGGATAATTTTTCGATTAATTTAAAATTTGGCCAAAAAATGTGATGGTACCCCTATAGCTCGAGGCCAAAACTAGAAAAATTATAATTTAGACATTACTGACAAGTCTTTTTAACATGAAACTTTTACAAAGGATTTTAAACGTAGATATAAATATCCATGTCAGATTTGGTAAATTTTTTGATAAATTTAAAATTTGGCCAAAAATTGTGATGTTACCCCTAGAGCTCGAGGCCAAAACTAGAAAAACTATAATTTAGACATTATTGACAAGTCTTTTTGACATGAAACTTTTACAAAGGATTTTACATGCAAATATAAATATACATATCAAATTTCGCAAATTTTGTGATTAATTTAAAATTTGGCCAAAAATTGTGATGGTACCCCTAGAGCTCGAGGCCAAAACTAGAAAAACTATAATTTAGACATTATTGACGAGTCTTTTTGACATGAAACTTTTACAAAGTATTTTATATGCAAATAGAAATATCCATGTCAAATTTGGAAAATTTTTTGATGAATTTAAAATTTATCTAAAAAATATGATGGTACCTTTAGAGCTCGAGGCCAAAAATAAAAAAATTATAATTTAGACATAATTGACAAGTCTTTTTGACATGAAACTTTTACAAATGATTTTAAACGTAAATATAAATATCCATGTCAGATTTGGCAAATTTTTTCATGAATTTAAAATTTGGCCAAATATTGTGATGTTACCACTAGAGCTTGAGGTCAAAACTAAAAAAAATTATAATTTATACATTAATGACACAAGTCTTTTTGACATGAAACTTTTAAAAAGGATTTTACATGCAAATATAAATATCCATGTCAAATTTTTCAAATTTTTTGATGAATTTAAAATTTGGCTAAAAAATGTGATGGTACCCCTAGAGCTCGAGGCCAAAACTAAAAAAAATATAATTTAGACATTACTGACCAGTGTTTTTGACATGAAATTTTTACATAGGATTTTACATGCAAATCTAAATATCCATGTCAAATTTTGATAATTTTTTGATGAATTTAAAATTTCTCCAAAAAATGTGATGGTACCCCTAGAGCTCGAGGCCAAAACTAAAAAAATTATAATTTAGACATTACTGACAAGTTTTTTTTACATGAAACTTTTACAAAGGATTTTACATGCAAATATAAATGTCCATATCAAATTTAGATAATTTTTTGATTACTTTAAAATTTGGCCTAAAAATGTGATGGTACCCCTAGAGCTCGAGGCCAAAACTAGAAAATACTTCTTCCGTCCCTAAATAGATTACAATCTTTTTTTCTCTCTCCTCTCGATAACTTTTGTTTGTTTACGCGATTTCATAAAGTATTTGATAAAATAAAATATTCTTGTCACCTCTTGTTTTGTAGAACTTTTGACGTAGTTTTTTAATATGTAATTTTTATAATTTATTAATATACCAATTCGTAAATAAAATGATTTCAAAAAGTAAAAAATTTTACTCCGTAACCCGCAATTTGTAATCAAATTGGGGACGGAGGGAGTATATAATTTAGACATTACTGACAAGTCTTTTTGACATGAAACTTTTACAAAGGATTTTACATGAAAATATAAATATCCATGTCAAATTTGGCGAATTTTGTGATTGATTTAAAAGTTGGCCAAAAATTTAGATGTTACCCCTAGAGCTTGAGGCTAAAACTAAAAAAAATTATTATTTATACATTACTGACAAGTCTTTTTGACATGAAACTTTTACAAAGAATTTTATATGCAAATATAAATATTCATGTTAAATTTTGCAAATTTTTTGATAAATTTAAAATTTGACTAAAAAAATGTGATGGTACCTCTAGAGATCGAGACCAAAACTAAAAAAATATAATTTAGACATTACAGACAAGTGTTTTTGACATGAAACTTTTACAAAGGATTTTACGTACAAATCTAAATATCCCTATCAAATTTGGATAATTTTTTGATAAATTTAAAATTTGGCCAAAGAATGTGATGGTACCCCTAGAGCTCGAGGCCAAAACTAAAAACATTATAATTTAGACATTACTGAAAAGTCTTTATAACATGAAAATTTTAAAAAGGATTTTACATTCAAATATAAATATCAATGTCAAATTTCGCAAATTTTGTGATGAATTTAGAATTTGGCCAAAAATTGTGATGGTACCCCTAGAATTCGAGACCAAAACTAGAAAAATTATAATTTGACATTATTGACAAGTCTTTTTAACATGAAACTTTTACAAAGGGATTTAAACGCAAATATAAATATCCATATCAGATTTGGCAAATTTTTTCATGAATTTAAAATTTGGCCAAAAATTGTGATCTTACCCCTAAAGCATGAGGCCAAAACTAAAAAAAATTATAATTTATACATTACTGACAAGTCTTTTTGACATGAAACTTTTACAAAGGAATTTACATGCAAATATAAATATCCATGTCAAATTTGGATAATTTTTTTAAAAAATTAAAAATTTGGCCAAAAAATGTGATGGTACCCCTAGAGCTCGAGGCCAAAACTAAAATCAATTATAATTTAGACATTACTGACAAGTTTTTTTGACATGAAACTTTTACAAAGGATTTTATATGCAAATAGAAATATGCATGTGAAATTTTGCAAATTTTTTGATGAATTTAAAATTTATCTAAAAAATGTGATGGTACCTCTAGAGCTCGAGGCCAAAATTAAAAAAATTATAATTTAGACATTACTGAAAAGTCTTTTTGACATGAAACTTTTACAAAGGATTTTACATGAAAATATAAATATCCATGTCAAATTTGGCGAATTTTGTGATGAATTTAAAATTTGGCCAAAAATTGTGATGTTACCCCTAGAGCTTGAGGCCAAAACTTAAAAAATTAAAATTTATACATTACTGACAAGTCTTTTTGACATGAAACTTTTACAATGGATTTTACATGAAAATATAAATATCCAAGTCAAATTTAGCAAATTCTTTGATAAATTTAAAATTTGGCCAAAAATGTGATGGTACCCCTAGAGCTCGAGGCCAAAACTAAAAAAAATTATAATTTAGACATTACTGACAAGTCTTTTTGACATGAAACTTTTACAAAGGATTTTACATGCAAATATAAATATCCATGTCAAATTTGGAAAATTTTTCGATTAATTTAAAATTTGGGCAAAAAATGTGATGGTACCCCTAGAGCTCGAGGCCAATACTAAAAAATTTATAATTTCGGCATTACTGACAAGGCATTACTTTGCAAATTTTTTTGATGAATTTAAAATTTATCTAAAAATGTGATGGTACCTCTAGAGCTCGAGGCAAAATTAAAAAAATTATAATTTAGACATTACTG